CCCCAAAACCCCAAAACCCCAAATTAAAAACATGTTGAATATAGCAAGTAGAGATAATGATATTTTTTATTAATTTTGGGATAATTTTGGAAAAAAGCTAATTAAATGTGGTTACTAAATGTTTTGTAATTTTCAGTTGAATATCACGGACATACAAGTTAGAGCGCCATCAATTTTCCTAAATTCATCATTTATCACTGGCTTGATGGTGTAACCTCTATCTAATAAAACTTTATGGAGTTTAGGGCATGATTCTGGTACTACAATGTTTCCATTGATATTTAAAATATTTGCGCCATGCCTCTCATCTTCTTCTACTATAATCTTTTCATATTTATCGAATTCCGGAATGTTTTCAATTGCTTTAATTCCCACAAGCAAATTTTCATCAAGATAGGTTACTATAGTCTTAAGATGTAGTCCTTCTGGCAGATTAAGAGCGATACCATTTAATCCTTCTTTTTCCTAGAGTATTTTTATCAATTTATCAGCCCCTTTTTAATTTGTCCTAGTTGATAGGCCTATAAAATACGTATTTCCAGCTCTCATAACATCGCCACCATCTAGGTATTCATTTCCTGTCATCTCAATAATGTTTTCTAAAGAATAAAATTTTTCTAGGGCTTCTCTCATATCCTGGGTAAACTCGCCTCTTCTACTGGCAACCGCAGGCTAAGTTATTAGCAAATAATTGGGTAATGCTAATGCAGTATCCTCAACAAAGACAGAATCTGGGAATTCTTCTCTAGCCTCTAGTGTAATAAGATTTTTAATTCCACAATCAACAAGAGACTTTGCATAATCAGCATGTTGAATTAAAGCAACGTCGAAATCTGGCTTCTCCATACTTTATGTAGTAAGCCCGTTGATCAATTATTAGCAAGGTTTACGAATAACTGCAGATGTAAATGTAAAATCTTGAATGACTCTTTTCATAATTTATAGTTCCTTCTCAATTATCTTATCAACTAATCAATGAATTTTAATTTACTTTGAATTTTTATAAGCAACTATAATAAAGTAGTTTAATTAATAGAGCTTTTTGCAATAAATTGATTACTAAATTTGTAACAATTTCATTTAAAAAAATTATACTTACGGGGTTTTGGGGTTTTGGGG